TTTCCCCGGTAGCGAAGACACTTCAGGCCTTGCTACTCCCGTATTACCCAAACCACTTGACCCCAGCGAAGCATCAGCATGGTTTCCGTAAAGTGCACAGTACAACAACAGCACTTAACGCCATAAACACTCAGATAACTCGTGGCCTTCACCGAAACCGTCCCTGTGAGAGAACGATTTTAATAGCGTTGGACTTGTCAAAGGCGTTTGACACCGTCTGCCTTTCCACGCTACTAGAAGATATAGATGCTTCCTCTCTCCCACAGAGGCTCAAACGGTGGTCGGCAAATTATCTGAGTGGTCGACACTCATCGGTAATGTTTAGAGACAAATCGAGTAAACTCAGAAAAATAAAACAGGGGGTTCCACAGGGTGGTGTCCTTTCCCCGCTACTGTTTAACTTTTACATTTCAAAGCTCCCTCAACCACCAGAGGGAGTCTCGATTGTCTCTTACGTCTGTGTTCGAAAGTAAACGGGTATCTCTCCGAACTTTCTCGCTTCTTCACTGCAAAGTGTCTAGCCCTCTCCCCTACGAAATCCTCTGCGACCCTGTTCACAACCTGGGCGAAGAGGTCAGGCTACCGCTTGGAATTCACGTCGATGACACACCGATTCCGACGGTGAATAACCCCAAAATACTCGGAGTAACATTCGACAGCCTGCTCTCGTTCTCTGCGCACGCAACCGCTATTGTCAATAAAGTACAGAGCCGCAACAAGGTCCTCAAGTCGCTAGCCGGCAGTACTTGGGGCAAAGACAAAGAAACGTTGCTGGCATCATACAAGGCAATAGGTCGGCCGGTTTTAAACTACACAGCTTCAGTGTGGTCGCCGGGGACTAGTCGGACGCAGTGGACGAAGCTACAGACTGTACAGAACACCGCACTCAGGACAGCGACAGGATGCCTCCTGATGTCGCCCGAACATCATCTCCACGACGAGCCACAAATGCTCCCCATAAAGGAGCACAACATAATGCTCTGCAAGCAGTTCCTGATCGGGAGCCACAGAAGTGGCCTCCCAAACAGACAGCTGCTTGCAGAGGAGCCCTCGCCTAGGCACGTCAGGAGGCATCTATATGAACTGACGGACGAAGTCCAGAGGTTCATCAAGCAACCTCTGGACCCGTCAGCTTACCGACTGGCCCTGAACGGCATTCGCAGGGAGTCAGTCTCGAGTTATGTAGACTCTAGACCTGTGAATGCCGTTCTAGGCATGCCGCCCCCGGACATAGACGAGACGGAGCTTCATCTGTCTCGGGAGACACGAACGACAATAGCCCAACTCCGCTCTGGCTACTGCAGTAGGTTAAACTCCTACCTGAGTAGATTGAATGAGGATGTACCAAATGAGTGTCCGGCATGCCGAGAGAGCCCACATGACTCGAAACATCTCTTCGCATGTCCGGAAAACCCGACAACCCTAACGGCTTTGTCCTTGTGGACCAACCCAATAGAAGCTGCACGCTTCTTAGGGCTGCCGTTAGTGGAACTTGACGACAACGACTGAGATACCAACCTATCTGGGCGGGGTTGTTGTAGCCACTACAACAACAACAACAACAAAACAAAGTGGAAAGGAATTAAAAAAAAACACACTATGTGCTTGTTTATTGTAAAATTGGTTAATTTTACATATTTTGAGGAAAATTATGGATTCTGATGTATTTGCAATTATAGCAGCAGAGTAAGCGGGCGCTATGGCAATGGATTCACAAAGGTATGCGGAGCTGTCGGGCATAGTTTCCATGGGCGCATCTATGTCAACTTCTGGATGAATTGTTGAACCACAAGCCACAACTCCTATGCCTGAAGCTCTGGTTCTCAATCCAGTTAATGCAATAACAGCTTCTTCCAAGCCATTGAAAACATGCATTTTGTTAGGTCCACCACCTGTTGCGCTTGCTTCTGCCTTCGGCCGCGCTTAGGAATTATAACCCTTACTGAGTAGAATTATCTTTTCTGTGTTGCGGGGAAGAGGGGCTTCCACATGTCAAAGGTATACAACATTTCTTGTGCATATCACTCCCGCTACGCCGTCCACAGGTTTTTGCGCAGAACCCACGTCGAAATTTGCAAAAAAGTGCATAGTGCAAACCGAGTTCATTAATAAGCTAGTGGTAGGAAATTTGAAATATTTATCTTAAATAAAATGTGAATCCTTTGATTACACGTGTATGTTAAAGTTTTTGGATTCGGGTTATGCGTTTGGACACAACCGAAAATCTTTGTACATTAACTAAACCAGACCCAAGTTTCTCGATAAGGGGCAACAAATATTCTTTTTTGCTCGTTTATATAAAGCAGTGGATAAAAATATACGTATATGCGAAAGGCAAATTTATCTGTTTAAATGAACACCACCAATATTTCTTGCAAACACACATCGATTTACATCTTTTATTTCGCCTCTGACACAGAATTGTTTTCGTACAAAATTACGCAAAAAAGATTACTCGTTCGTTTTTAGGCATGCCATTGTTACGAATTTCGAAAGTTCGAAAATACGATTCGGATTGCAGCATACTATTTCTACGATTCGTAGCAAAATCCGAATATGAAAGAGTTGCAGAATAGGGGTGTATGTCTCGGGATGCACGGAGAAAAATTTCTGTTTTGTATTATTTATTACAAAAACTTCGGTATGTATTTTAGCATTTTTTCATTGGGCGGTATTTTCTAGAGCTAAACACAATAGAAACATAAAACATAGAAAGAAAGTTAATGGCCCTAAGTAAGAGAAAAGTTGGTAACATTTTTTATGTATTTTTATTTTTTTGGAGATAATTTAAATGTGGATTTCTGAGCAAAAAAGCTAACGTGCTTCGAGCACCCTGAATATTAAAAGATTATTTCGTTAATTTCAAATAGAAGTTAAATAAAAATATATATTTCTTTTTGAATAAGGTAAAACTTGACATGTAAAAACAATTTAAAGTTACGACTAAACGAAAAGATAAATAACAAATGTATGTTTTAATAGAGGACTAGTCTGGTACTTAAAAAAATTACATAATTCACATAATTGTATAATTTATTTATTTTTTCAGATCCTGAATAACAAAAGCTTTGGGAAATTCAAAAAAGCTTTAAGATTAAATTTAAAATTTAAATTGGTATAAATAAAAGATTATAGACAATAACAAGTGTTTGGCTGGCATTGCTGTACAGAAGTAGATTCAATATTCCAGATAAGAGATGGTCATCTTCTCTCTTTTACGACTGAAAGGACGAAAGTCCCTATAGTCAGGTTGTTCCTTCAGGTATAGTGTACTCAATAAGGTGTGTAGCTGCTGATGTGTCCACTGTATTTCCACTGCTACACAAGGTAGTACCGCCAAAACCCGTGTAGTAGCGTCTGCTTGTACTGTTTATGTGCGGTTGTTTCTCCAGGTACGGTCTATTCACTGAAGCCGTGTGGTAAAGCTTAAGATTGTGTAGTTGATGTGTAAAGAGCATGTGTGAATCAGGAGGCAGTTGTGATTGCCATGTATCTTCAGTAGTATTCGCGATAACGGACTATACACGCTTGGGCTAGGTGGAACGATTAATAATAGATCCGTTCCTTATCTTTTCGGACTAAAATCTGAAAAGTGTCAAAATGCAAGAGCGTGAGCAAAATGCGCTCACTAAAAGAGAATAACAGGAAAAAGTTAAGGAATGCAAAAAACCAAATTTTTAGTCCAAAGAATGGCAACAACAAAACTAACGTCAAATAAGAATAGAAATGTATGTACAAAACATTCACACAAGCACAAGCATAATAAACACTTACTATATCAATTATTTTTTGCTTCCTTCGCCTTTTAATTCACTTTTTTTACTTTTTAAATTATTCTCACCTTTTGTGTATTCTTTAATGTTAGAAAAGACACACTCTGGCAACATCGTACATATGTCAAACATGTACATATTTATTAGCGAATAGATCCCATACATACGTCATAACCTTTTTTATTAGACAAACCGCCATTACATTTTTCTCTTGTGAACAAATTAAACTAAATTAAATAAAGCATAAAGTTTTCATTATACTTTATCCTCTTCGTTTTTCTTTGTCGCTCTGGTCAACAAGCTTCGCGTTTCAACAGGTTATGGGCCCAGGCCCCGACCGACAGTAAAAAAGGAAAACACTTGACTACCACGTGGTCCACCCATTTTCTTCTCGTGTATTGACCATGGCCAAAGCCAGTATATACTCTATTGAACCTTTAAAAAAGGACAACTATGACACGTGGAAGGTACAAGCACAAGCTGTTCTCATAAAAAATGAAACTGTGGAAATACGTCTCCGGCACGCAAAAGCGAGAGGGTAACCAGGCGGCAATTGACCTGTTCGACGAACAAGATTTACTTGCGCGATCAGACTTGCTGCTTATAATCTCGCCACCGGAGCTGCGACAGGTAAAAAACGCCACCACATCCAAAGAGTTATGGGACTTATTAGCGAAGATCTACGAAAGTAAAGGACCAGCTAGGAAAGCCACACTCTTGAAGAAGCTCATACTAAAAAAGGCTAGCTAAGCAGAAAATGTTTCTATGAGAGAGCACCTAAATGATTTCATGGACACCGTGGATAAACTTGCAAATATGGAAATCAAAATTCACAACGACCTTCTGAGCATTATGATGCTCTACAGTCTTCCTACCGCATTTGATAGTTTCCGGATTGCAATCGAATCAAGGGACTCACTGCCCTCACCCGAAGAACTCAAAGTAAACATTTTAGAAGAGTCTGAGGCAAGAGTGGTTAGTCAAAAGTCTGAAGATGAGGCTATGTTCACTAGCAAGTCAAAAGCGAAAACCAGCAAAAAATAAGTGTGGGTTTTGCAACAAACCTGGACACATAATTAAAGACTGCTGGTTCAAAAATAAAAATACAACTAAGAAGGTAAAAAATGAAAATGTACAAAACCTTTATATAAACGAATTTGCTTCAACACCAGAATTAGGTAAAAAAGATGTTCATAAATGGTGTCTCGATAGCGGGTGCACAGCACACATGTGTTACAGTAGAGAAATGTTCGATAACATTTTCAGCACTGACGCAAGTGTACTAAAGTTAGCCTTGTTTAATAAAATTGAGAAAATATGTGGCAAAGGCAGTGTCACCTTCAGCCACAAAAACACTGTAATAAATCTACGTGAAACATTGTTCTTTCCTGGGCTGTCGACAAACTTAATTTCAGTTAGAAAATTAACTGAAAAAGGGTGTAAGGTTTATTTTTTCGAAAACATTGCCGTCATTTACAATAAAGAAAACAAAAAGATTATGGAGGCGAAAAAGGAAAATAACCTGTACTATATACGTACTGAAATAAAACATACAAAAACAGAAAAATCACTTTATTCAAGTCAATTATATAAGTGGCACGTTAATTTAGGTCACATAAATGAAAATGATCTGAAACTAGCTTACAAAAACAACGCACTTAAAGGCTTAGACATAAATGAAAACGAAAAACTAGATTGTGAAATATGCATCCAAGGAAAAATGTCACAGTCACCGTTCAAAGAAACAAATAGGCCAAGAGCTCGCGAATTGCTAGAAATAGTCCACAGTGACGTCTGTGGACCAATGCCAATAGACAGTTTAGGAGGCAGCAGATATTTCGTTACTTTTAGCGATGAGTACAGTCGGTATTGCAAAATATATTTCCTGAGACATAAAAATGAAGTATTAAATAAATTTAAAGAATACAAAAACGAAGCCGAAAATCTTACAAATAAAAAAATCAAATACCTACAGTCAGATAATGGGACGGAATATACAAATTTCGAGTTCAAAAACTACCTTAAAAGTCATGGCATCGTAAGAAGGCTGTCTGCCCCATACACGCCACAACAAAATGGTACATCTGAAAGAAAAAATAAAACTTTATTGGATAAGGCCCGTTGCATGTTAATTCAATCCAAATTACCTGAAAGTTTCTGGGCTGAAGCTATACTAAATGCGAACTACGTAACAAATAGAACCCCGTCAAAAATTACAAATTATAAAACTCCATTTGAAATATGGGTTGGCCGTGTACCATCCGTACGGCACATGCATTGTTTTGGAGCCAAAGTTTATGCACTAAATAAAGGCCAAAAGAAAAAATTTTCCAGCAGAGCCGATGAAGGAATAGTTAGCGCTGGTCTGATAAACAGCATAACATGGCGACCTATGCTGACTCTAGCATCAGACCACCTACCCATAGTCATCTCGATAGATAAACTAACCGACTTTGCCTCCGCCAAACACTGGACCTATATCAACTTTTCTAAAGCTGATTGGAAAGGTTACGCGGAGTTTACCGAAAACACCTTCACAGCGCTCCCCACACCAACCGACGTCCATCTCGGTGAACGTAAGTTCCGCAGGGCTGTCACTGCTGCTGCAGCTCGCTTCATACCGGCAGGATGTATATCGGACCCACGTCCAAACTTCCCTGCCGAAGTGGCTGTTCTAGCCTTCGTCAGGCCGATCCCGGAGATCCCCGTATCAGGGATCTCAACGCGGAGATTCGGCAACTAGTAAACGTACATAAGCGGAAGAAGTGGGAGGAGCATCTGAAGACCTGTAATTTCACCTCTGGTGTGAGCAAGCTTTGGTCAATCGTGAGGTCATTGTCTAATCCGACGAAGCCCGACGACAGAGTCGAAA